TGCTGTGGTGAGCTTTGACCCTAACTTCTTTGAAAGCAATGAGGTTCAAAAGGCATTACTGTGAATGGCAACATGTAAACAACACAGTCTTTTCAATAATTTTTATTTATTGACTGTGATAGTCCCACAAGAATATTGAAATTCAGTAAGTTTTTTATTCAGAAACGGGTCTGCCCATCTACTTCGCAATCTCTAGGGTGAAGCTGCCAGGATTCAGTATCAGAATTTGTTGCAACCTGTGTGCTGAGTCACAGCACTGCTGTGCTTAGTCACTCAGTTGTGTCTGACTCTGCGACCCCATGGACTGTAACCCCATGGACTGTAGAATTTTAAATAACAAATTCCTGGTTATTTAAAAAATTTTTGGAAAAGCAACATATGAACAGGACGGTACCAGTTGCAGCTGCTTCCTGGGATAGGGGGAAATCTGTGGCAGACCCAAGGTTTCCACCTGTCTGCCCAGCCCACGTGACGCCTCAAGGGACAGAGAACCACCAGCAGGGCTCAGTGGAGTGAAGCTTCTTGTGCAACCAGTGGTTACCCTTGGAAACTTTGCTAGCACCCTCAGACTTTTATCCTTAGCATTTGAAGTCACCTCATCTAGGCCTTTAGTCTACCAAATACCATCTCAACCAAAATGCTAGTCACAGGCCTTTACACTGGATGCCTCCATCAAAGACCAGTTGCAATTACATACTCTGATCTGCTTTGTTCACAATACCCAGAATAGGTCTTGGCCCATAGCAGGTATGCTATTATTTTTTTTAATGAACATTAAAGCCAGCATCTTAGTACCATATACATATCAAGTATCAGTATTTTCATTTTGATCTAAATTACAGTGACCGTACAGTATTATCAAAATGATCCAATAGCACTACTAAGTGCCCACTACTCACTGTGTATAAACTGTTTATAAACTGTTATGTACTGGGTATAAACTCCAGTAACTATCATCAACTTAAGAGTTAGGCTCGACTTAGCAACTAAACCACCACCACCGATAAAGAAATTGAAGTTAAGAACTGGTCAGAAATCATTTAGGATGGGGATTTGAATCTAGGCGCTTATTAACTAGGCTCCACTCCTAAGTAAGCCACTTACTTCAGTGTGATTTATAAGACAATTCAACACAATTAACAATAGTATTAAACTGAATTATAAATGATACTGCTCCTTGTACTATAGTCACCATGGGTTTAGGGCTAAGTATTTGAGAACTTATAATACGCCAGGTATTTGGTCAGACCCCAGGAATATGGTGGAAACCAAGGTGGACTTTATGGGCAGGGGCAGGTAGGCAAGCTCACAAGAAACTACTGAATGTGCTCCCAAGTATGAGGTCATTACAAGCTGCTATAGAAATCCAGAATAAGAGCACTGGAGAGGGAAGATAGCACTTAATAGAAAGTGGGAAAGTATATAGATGGCAGGGGGCATTGTAGGTTAAGTGATGGCATTCAGAGGTCCGACAGGCCAGAAAAGCAAGCTGCCGTCTTAGAATGGTCTCAAATATCCACCCCAGCCCTGCACACAAACTTAAGGCCACTTCTCTGCAGCTTCACCTTGCTTTCCCCACAAACCGTTAAACATACCCCTCTCCAGGGCCTTTGCACTTGCTCTCCCTCTGCCTGAAATCCTCTGCATCCAAACATGTACAGGTGACCTTTGTATAATAAAGGAGTTAATCTGAATAATTTATAGATGGCCCTCCACATCCACAAATTCACCCATGTAGTAATATAGTATTCACTACTGAAAATACCTGTGTATAAGGGGACCCATGTAGTTCAAACCCATGTTACTCAAAAGGCTGACTGTAACAACCATGTTACCTCCTGCAGCCCTTTCAGGTCTTCTGTAGTTAGTCTCGCGAGCTCCATCTGAAATTATGTCCTCCACTCACAGTACATACACACGCCTTACCTATTTCCCTTGTCTTTTCCCTCTAGCAATTATGCTTTTACAACATATTTGTTGAATTTCCTTTATTAGGAGGCTGGATTTTACAGAATATGGGATATTAAAAAATGAAGTTTACACAGAGGCTAAAGCAGTGTTTTGGTTTTTTTTTTTTCATTTATTTTTATTAGTTGGAGGCTAATTACAATATTGTGGTTTTTGTCATACATTGACATGAATCAGCCATGGATTTACATTAAAACAGTGTTTTGAAATAAGCATTAAGAGTGAATCCAAGGCAAATACCTTTAAGATTTCTGGAAAATGAGGTATCTGCAAACATTCAGAGCTGATAAACAGGAAGAATTCCTAGCTCCTACTAGGCTATTAATTTTGCTACAATGACATTTCTTCCTATATGAAAACTTTCCCATCATCACCTCCAATACTTTCAAAATTCTAACAATCTAGCATCATTGTGTCCTTTAAATTCCTTCTTATAGCTCATTGTGCTACATTCAGTAGCAACATTTAACATGCTGAAGAATGGTCCCTTTGTGCCAAATTTTGATATATATTCTCAGTAAGTCTCTAATCCTAACTCCCTCCTGAAATAGCCTAATCTCTATTTGAATACTTCTACTGTTACACGAGGACACTAAATCTCAAGAGATACTTGACTTTCCATAGTTTACATGGCCAAAAAGGTACATATGAGGCTCCTTGTTTAGGGCTATGCATATGTGATGGAATATTAATTCACTACCTGAACTATTGCTTCATCTATCATTTTACACTACCCACTTCATAGATCTGGGAGAATTAAACCACCAGCATTATCCCACTGACCCAACTCCTATGCCAATGCAGATCCATAGCTGCTACAGGTTATGTGAGAACAGCTGGCCTCATTAGATGCACTTGTGTGTTGTACACTGCAGAGTGATATAGTTGGTATGGGTCAGTTAGAATACCAGCATCAGGGAGCATTCTAGCTTCAGTGGCTTGTACCTGTAGTTTTCAACCTAGAAAAATAAATGTTTTAAAATTACCTTCTTGAATAGAAAATTTGTACACGTGTTCCATCATCTAGATTTTTTTCCCACCATCAGAGGTGACCAAAGTACCCAAACTGCCTTGTATTTTTGAACACACTAGGTGGGACCCCCAGAGGAATCTAAAAATCAGGCCTGAAAGTACTGTCAAACCAAAGGTCAAGTTTAAATTTAATGACTTTGGTATTAACTACACACATACTGGTAAGTGCTAAGACTTAAAATCTTCCGGTTGAGTTGTGACTCCAGACAGGATCCAGAGAGGAGTTCTAAAAGTCTCTTCTCTGGGTTTTATGGAGACTTCCTCTACCCTCCTGTGTTAGCCTCTTAAGGCACTGCGTCAGCCTTAAAAGGGCACTGGAAAGGGCGATCTGGGTTCCTCACAGGGCTCTCTACGACTTCCTGCACTCCTCTTAATATCCATGGACCTCAGCAGTTTCTTTAGCCAAGTCTGAAAACCCACTAGAAGCAGCTGTTCTGCTGGGTGAAGCCAGTAAACGTCCATTTCTTTTAAAAGCCTGATCTGAGCCTTTGCATGGAATACGAGCTTGGGAACCCTCCGGTCACCATTAGCCACGTGCTCGGGCCTGGGTCATCTTACTTTCACTTAAGGACAGGGTTGTAAGGAATAGGCGGGGCATTTTGGGTAATCTTTACCTGAGATGGCATTTGCAGTTGAGCAGGGGGTGGAAAGTTCCAGGCTGATGCAATCTGCCTGGAGTATTGGGGTGGGGCTTAAAGTTCACTTTTGTTTTCCCCAAAGTCAGGTGGTTCAGCAAGGGCCCTTGAGGTAGATATCTTCTTTTTCTAGGCCTGAGGACTCCTTCATTCCAGATCCTGAAAAGGATGGGAAAAGGGTGCCGTATCTCTCTGGCTACTTCCTGTTGGATAGGGGCGACGGTTTTGGGGTCTGGAACAGAGGATTGTTATAGGGCCCAGGGTTTCCTTTTTCCAATGTTGAGGTGAGGCTCTCAAGAAGAATGGCCTTGACTTGGTCTTGAGAGATGGCCTGAATCTGGTCTTGGAGAAAACTTTGAAAGAGATTGAAGAAACAGGTCCAAATAAAAGAAGTACTAATGGCTCCAAGAAAGGGAGTAACCACGGGAGGGCCAGTTGGAACAGGCTGTGGAGAGTGGAAAGATTTTATAACTCTTCTGATTCTGTCTCTAAGTTCTCTGACCCTACCCTGGACTATGCCTGTTTTGTTAACAAAAGAGCAGTAGTCTTCTCCCAGGAAAAGGCAGGTTCCTCGCTTTTCTGTGGTGAGAAGGTCCAGGGCTCGTCTATCCTGTAGGGCCACAGAAGCCAGTGAGTTCATTTGTCTTTGGACTGCAGCAAAGAACTCCACCATCAGTTCCACGTCCTCATTAAGTTCCCGGGACAGTGTGCAGTAGAAATGGGCCGAGGTTGAGATGCCCCTGATGCTGGTGCTGAGCCACCGCTGTGCCAGTCCCAACCAGGAGGGGGGCCAGGACAGCCCGTTTTTTCCTGTGGGAATGTTTCACCTGGGGATCGACTGCTTGTTCTATCTCTTTGTCTTTTAGGATGGTAAGACCTTGGTCACAAAGACCAAGATGCAAGGTCCAGGGGGTTTGGGGGGAAGACATGAGTAGGCGTAGGTCCCTCGGAGAGTGAAGATTCCCAGGCTGGTGCAATTACTTGTGCTGTCCCAGAGAACCCAAGTGGAATAGAAGGAGGGTGGAGTCTGTGAGGCCGGTGGGGTTGGGACTAGAGTAGTTGACACAGGTTATGTTTGAAGGGGCTGAGAGGAGGATATTGTCAGAGACTGGCCCAATGATTCGTGTGGCGTTTTGTTGGGGAGGGAAGGTATAGTTGCCCTGTGACAGCCACAATGTGTAGTGATGGAGACTGCGACATGCATATCCAGCACTGCGATGTGTAATGTGTGTTCTGGAAGAACTGGAAGGAGTTAAGAAGGATGTCAGTTGTCAGAGGGAGGATTTAGGAGGGGCCGTAATTGGGAAAGGAGGTCTGGGCATCTATAGGGCTCAGGGGTCGCCTGTAACTGGGAGATTCGGTTTTTTATAACCTGTTCTTGATTCTTTTTACAATCAGGTTTCTTATAAGCTGTTCTTGGTTCTTTTTACGCTGTTGATCTTGCGCCCCTCCCCCGTCTGAGTACCCCCAGTGGGTAGTGGGATAGAAACAGATGTCTTTCCCATTTGGCTTATAGCAACTGCTCACAGCACTCCCTGTCTTCTGTACCTTAACAGTGAACAGGGATTTGGACTTCCCCGCCCCGATGTTCATGGTGCATGGCTTAGGGGCCGTGTTATAACATGAGGAATGGACAAAGGAATGAATTTCATCACAGGGGCAGGAACTAGCCAGAAGACCGGGGAGTGTAGCAAGGATAAGGAACAGGGGAGTCATGGGTCTGGTAGTTAGACAATGAGGAAAAAATAGAATCCTGACAGCGTAGGTGGCATTGACAGAGACGGAGGATGGATGACCAGTCTAGAGGGGAGACAGTTGTTAGGCCTATAGCAAGGGCTAAGGTTAAGAGTGCAGTTATGGCTAGAGAGATGGGGAGAGGCCAATCTGGCGAGAGACGGAAGGCCCCAAATTTGTGGTAGCTTCAATCTGGGGAAGACGAATTGGATGTAGAATGATGTAGAGGACGAGAGTAAAGAAATAAATTTCGTCTAGAGTTAGATTGTAGAAGGTTCCCTTAAGCCACAGTTCAGACACCAGCGTGGTCAGGTCCTCGAAGGTTTCTGTCAGGGCGCTGGTCCAGAGGTCTTGTAGTAGTCACGTCAGGAGCAGCTGTAGGTTGAAGAGTGTCCAGGTCATTCAGTGTCTTCTTGGGATGATCGACAGAGGTTGTCGCCGGGTGATTTTTAAGGAGGTGGGCCCTGTGAGGGAGACCTGATAGGCATCAGTTAAGGAGGGCAGTACAGGATTGGAGGCAACCCTTGTTAGGCGAGAGAGGTGTACCCAGGAAGTAACCTTTTTGAGCTTAGCTGCAGTTGGGATAAGGAGGATGATTCTGAATGGTCCCTGCCACTTTGGGGTTAGGTCACCCTGGGGATCTTCAGACAGATAGACCATGTCCCCAGTTTGTAGAGGGGGCTTGGGGGCTTGGGGGTTAGGAGCAGGCAAGTTGTGGCTGACGTATTTCCAGAAGGCACTGTGGATTTCTGCTAGCAGAGGGGAGTGTAGGGAGTTTGGTATGGGAGGCGGTTTAGGGGGAAGTCTGGGAGGGTTATGGGTCTTCCATACATAAGGCTTTTCTAGGCAAAGCTTGCACTTTTAGAATGACTGGCAAACGTTTAGTCCAATCTAGATGCACCTCAAGGGATAATTTGGTAAGAGTTTCTTTAATTATCCTGTTCATCCTTTCTGCCTTCCCTGAGAACAGGGGACAATATGGAATGTGAAATTTCCAGGGGATCTCTAAGAACTGGACAAGTTGTTGGGTGACCTTGGACACGAATTCTGGGCCATCATCAGACTGTAGATGACGGCAGGCCAAAGCTGGGGGCGATTTCTGTGAGGAGGACCTGGGCCACAGTGTGGGCTCTTTGTTTGTGGTGGGAGATGCTGCTACCCATCCCGAAAAGGTGTCTGCAAGGACCAGGAGGCATCTGACTCTCCGAACTGGGGGCATATGTCTATCTGCCAATCTCGTGCTGGGAGACTGCCTCGCATCTGATGGGTTGGAAAGGATGTAGCTTTAAGGTTGGAATTGGGATTAGTTCGTTGACATGTCTGACAGGAGTGGGTAAGGTCATCTAGATATTTTTGGTTGGCAGCTGATATGGGGAAGTAGTTGTGGATGAACTGCTGGAGTACCTTGGATGAAGGATGGAAGAGTGAGTTTAGACAGGAGAGAATTTCTCTGGTGGGAGGGTTGGGTGGAGTCAGGGCTAAAATGACAGGGGACTGGAGGGAGGGATAGGACAGGGCTACCACCTTTGCCTTGTGGTCTGCAGCACTGTTGTAGGCTGATAGGAGACTTCCCTTTTGATGTCCCCTGCAGTGGAGGATGGCAGCTCTGTCATCTGTAAGAGTGTGGCCTCTGGAAGTTTGTGGATGAGGTCGGAATTAATAATGGGGGATCCCTTCTGGGTGAGGAACCCTCTTTTCCTCCGTATCAGGATGTTTGAGTGAAGTATGTTATAGGCATATTTGGAGTCTGTGTAGATGTTAACTCTTAGATGTTTAGTCAGGGTCAAAGCTCTGGTGAGAGCTACTAGTTCTGCCTGTTGGGAGGTGGTGTGAGGTGGCAGAGGTGAGGCGTCAATTATCTGTGTCTCGTGGCTGTGATGAAGGTTTCCCTGGATGACGGCATATCCTGCCACAAAGGGTGGGGATTTTTGAGAGCTGCCATCAATGAACCACTATGGGGTGTCAGGGTCTAAGATGGGCTGATCTGTCAAGTGTTGGAAGGGCTTTTGGGCAAGATCCACTGATGTAGGGGAAGGTCTGCTGTAGAAGGTGTGGGTAATAAACTGGCAGGGTTAAGGGGAGCGCAGGGAGAGAACGAGAGTTGAGGATCGAGGAAAAAGGCATGCAGAACCTGTATCCTGGAAGGGGAAGGGAGAGTAAAGCCCAGTGAGACAGGTCTCAGAGGCTGTGTGCAGAGCAGACTGTCGAGGGGGCGTGTCTAGAGAATTTGTTCACTTCGGGTACCAGGGCTGCAGTGGCAGCCACGGCTTGTATGTAGGGAAGCCACCCCTTGGTCACCAGGTCAAGTGGTTTTGATAAACAGGCTCTAGGAGTCTAGGCAGCCCCAGCCTGCTGGCATAGAAGCCCCAGGGCCTGTCCTTGATTGGAATGGGCAAAGAGAAAAAAATGGTCTGGTATAATTTGGCAGGTGGAGAGTTGGCACTCGGAGGCGGCTCTCGGTGAGCTGGCGAATGGGAGAGGCCAGTGGGGAGGAGTCAAAGAGAGGTTCCTCTAGGGACCCTTTGGTTGCCTCATAAAGCGGCTTTGCAATGAGGGAGAAATTGGGGATCCAGATGCAGAAAAAGTTTAGGAGGCCGAGGAGAGACCTAAGTTCCTGTTTTGTTTTTGGGGGCAGGCAGTCAATTAAGGCCTGGATTCTGTCTGGAGGAATGGTTCTTCGTTGGTGGGATGGGGGAGTCCCAGGTAGGTGACGTTTGTCTGGGCTATCTGGGCCTTGGATCAGGACACCCGATAACCCCAGAACCCCAGGGCCCTAAGGAGTTTGGCAGTATGCTAGAAGCAAAGCTTTCAGGTTGAGCCACAAAGGAGGAGGCCATCTGCATACTGAAGGTGACTCGGGGCCAGGCCGTGTGTCTGCAGGCCCTTCTGTAAGGGTCTCCCCAAGAAAGTGGGGCTGTCCCTGAGCCCCTGGAGAACTGTCCACGCTAGCTGCTGGGAAACATGAGTCTCGGGGTCTTGCCAGGTGAAGGCGAAGAGGGGTTGGGAGAGGGGATGGAGGGGGCTGGTGAAGAAGGCATCTTTAAGATCTAATACTGTGAAGAAGGTTGTAGTTGGGGGAATGGCGGACAGAAGGGTGTAGGGATTGGGGACTACTGGAATGTTGGTGTGATGGCCTCATTGATTTTTCATAGGTCTTGGACCAGTCTCCAAGAGTTTGGTCTCCTTTTTACTGCCAGAATGGGGGTGTTGTGTGGTGAATGTGTAGGAATTAAGATGGAGGCTTGAAGAAGACGGTCTGTGATATGCTTAAGTTCCTTGTGGGCCTCCGGGGTGAGAGAGTACTGTTGTTGGACGATTATAGCTGAGGGGTCCTTTAAGGTGATGTGGACTGGAGTATGATACTTGGCTATGGATGGGTGACCAGTATCTCAGACTTGAGGGTCTACGGCAGGTAGGTCCAAGGGAAGATCAAGAGTACGGGACAGGGATGGTCCAGGTGCCATGTGCATATAGAACAGAGACTGCATTGAGAGGGGGTATGGTAATAGAGACCCCTAATTTGGATAATAAATCTCTCCCTAGGAGCGCCATGGGGCACTGAGGCATTATGAGAAATGAGTATGAGGGTCAAGTTTCCAAACTGACAGAGTAATGGGAAGCTGATTCTTGGGCTCAGGGGGACTCCAGAGACCCCGTTGATTGTGAGCTCTGAATTTTGGGTTGGGCCAGAGTAGGAGATCACGAGAGAGAAGGTAGCTCCAGTGTCTACTATGAGGGAGACCTTTCTCCCAGCCACTATCCCATCTAGCCTGAGTTCCGAGCTCGTGTCCGGGACACGGGTTCCGTCTCTGGAACAACTCTCGCAGGGTCGGGCTGGAGTTCTGGGAAGAGGTGGGGATAGTCCATCTTCCAGTGTCCCCAGTGGCCGCAGGGCGGGCCTGCCCTTGTGGGGCCGCGGGTTTGGGCCTGCCCTTGCCCAGTGTCCCGACTGGTTGCATCGGAAGCAGGGTCGGGGGCAGGGTTGGTCGTAAGCCCCAGTCTGGGATGACTTGGGCCAGGCTGATCTCTTCCCTTAATTGCTGCCACCAAAAAGGCCTTTCTCTCACAGTCTTTTTCTCCTATTATTGAACACTTTGAAGGCTACTTCTAGAAGGTGCCTTTGGGGAGGTTATAGGGCCCTTCTCTAGTTGTTTAAGTTTGTGTCTATAATGTCAGGGGCGGACTAGCTGATGAATTGAACATGGAGGTAAAGAAACCAGCAGGGGTGGTGATATGCAGGTTGTTATAATTTTGGACTGCCTCTGTGAGGCTCACCAAGAACAAGGCTGGATTTTCGTCCACCCCTTGGGTGATTTCCCTAACTTTATCATAATTGACATGGATATGAGCATTTTTCTGCATGCCCTCTAGGAGGCAGGTGGCCATATGATTAAGCCTCCTGATGCCTGGGTCACCAGGCTGGTATGTCCAGTGAGCTTCTAGTTGAGGCACTGACTCATCAGCCACTGGGTTGGTCCAGTCTTGGTTATGTAAGTGACTGGCGTGGGCTTTCACCACTTGCCAGATACGTTTTTTTTCATCTGGATTGAGAGTGGCATTTAGGATATAATATGTCACTCCACGTGAGGGTTATAGGCCTGGGTAAGCCTCGGGAACCCTTTTCTGTACCTGGTAGAGTTTTCAGAAAATGATCCTAACTTTTCTTCTATCTGGCTCATGTCTGACAATGAAAATGGCATGTGGACTTGGGTGGGGCCCTCTGGTCCTGCCACCTCTCAGGGAAAACATGTGTTGAGTACCTGATGGTGTGGTGGGGGGTGGGGGGTGGGGGGTGGGGGTAGTCGCGGGGTTGAGAAAGGCTCAGGAAAGGTTTCGGAGTTAGTAGGTGAGTTCAGTGAGGGGGAAGGAGGGGGTTGACAGTGTGGCTGGTAGGGAGGGGACTGGCCCGCTGGGGTCGAACTCTGGGGGTGCAGAAGGTCACGCGCGTGGCTGGTTGAAGCAGAAGGGTCCTTTTGTTTGGG